ATTTTTTCTTGACTAGAACAAGTAAATGAAGAAAAAGTAGGGCTTAAAAAATAATAACAAAAAGGGGACGGTTTTGATAACGTGGGGCCGGATTTACTAATTTGGGACCGGATTGACTTGGGGCTGGATTGACTTGTACCGGAATAGATATGTAGAGATTATATGAAAACTATTTTGAAAATGTACATAATTTTACTGGTTCAGAGCACTTTATCAGTTGTAATAAACAATGATTTTTTTATTAACGCGTGCATCTTTGTAGTTATTTAGTTTCATTTTTTGTTTAATCACTCTGTATACTGAGAGAGGAAAATCGATCTAAATTATTGACATTTACATTGTAACTTATATACTACATTTCACAATAATAAAAAAGTGGGACATACGTTTGAGACATATGTTTAACCTGAACTTGGATGATATTCTGTGCTTGCGAAGTTTTTGTGACTTATAAAATAACCATTATAACCACAGTGATGGATGAGATACCTTAAGATCAGAAAACTGTGATAACTAAAAGGGCATTACCTCCAAAGCTAGCAAAAAGCGGTTAAACTCAGTATTTAAATATGTGTCTTTAGTTATCTCGTGACCTAATGTTTGCATATAGAACTGACATGATTACATGACGAGTGATTTATCAACGAAATGTAGCGTCCATTAAAATTGTAACCAACTTTACGTTTAATTAAAGAACGTTTCGTTGATTCAGAACATTTCTTTATATAATGTAATGAACTCATTTCTGATAGCGTTAGATTATTTAAAAAAAAAATCAGAAATATTCATTATTGCATTGATTGCTTAAGAAAGTGTTCTATACAAATTATGTGTACAAAAATCAACGCTTGAAAAAAAAGGTTAAATTACGAATACAATATCGATAAAAAAATAGTTCGGACATATATTCATACTCAGTGTTTAATATCAGTTCAGAATATTTGGTGGAAAAAAAGTAAAAGATAACTTATATGATGCCAATGTGTGCATTTAATAGATTTTCACCAAAAAATATAAGAAAACAACAACAACAACAATAACAGCAACAACAACAATAACAACAAAAGCAACAACAACACCTATATTGCACTTACAAAAAAAACAAGTAAGCAAACAAAAGTAACGTATAATAAGACAGATTGGACGGACGTTAATATGAGGCAATATCTGTAATAGGTCACATAAATATATTGGCACAGCCGTTTATCCAGTTATCATATAAACAGTGTGTCAACATACTTTACGCCAACAGTGTTGATTATTTGTTACAGATGTACTTTTTGGACTATATAATGTTCATAGCATTCATAGCATTATCTATGATAATGTATTATTAACTACAATAAAGTGCGTTTATTACTACAAGAGAGAACATTTATTACTGCAGCAAAAAGTGCATCCATAATTGCAGTAACTACAACGAGGTGCGTTAATAACTACAAGAAAATTAATCTATAACTACAATAAAACGCATTCATAGCTGCAATAAAGTGCATTTATGTATACAAAAAAGTTCATTTATAACTACAATAAAATGAATTTCATTTATAGAAACATCAAAGTTCATTGATTACTTCAATAGAGAACATTCATAACTACAAGAAAGAACATTTATAACTGCAGCAAAGTAGTGCATTCATAACTGCCACCAAGTGCATTTATAACTACAAGAAAGTGCATCTTTAACTACAAAAAGTGCATGTTAATAAGTACGATCATTTTCACATAACTAAAATAATGCACACTTTTTACTAAAGGAAAGTAATATTATAACATACACTGAGGTTAACAATTTGTGAAAATGAGGAAGATTTTACGTGCTATTTGGCCCTTAAAGCCGGTCATAGCCACCATTTTAGCATTCGTGATCCCTATCAGCCTAGCTGTGGATTATTCTCCAGATTTTGAACGAGTAAGTAATAATATCATTGTAAACATGATTTTATATTTTACTATCCTATATGGCTACTAGTTGTGTTTTTAATCTGAGATAGTCTTTTGATTATTAAGGAAAAAACGTAAGTATTTGAAAATTACCAGACATTGCTACATAGTGACCGCTAAAATAATTTTATTTTTATTGTCAAACAACCGCTATATGAATTTTTACTCTCAATTAGCACTAAACTAATATGAGCCGTGTCACGACAAAACCAACATAGTGCGTTTGCGACCAGCATGGATCCAGACCAGCCTGCGCATTCGAGAAACTGATAGCGAACAGCATGGATCCTGATCAGACTGCGCGGATGCGCAGGCTGGTCTGGATCCATGCTGGTCGCAAACCCATTATGTTGGTTTTGTCGTGACACGGCTCATACATTTCACAGTTAGCCAGTGTGGAAAACAGAAACAGGTCTTAGAGTAACATATATAACTTTGCCGAAAAATAATTAAATAATTAAGTAGGAACAGCTGGGAATCTGGGAAATGCACATCGCCTTTCAGCAAAATATCCAATAAATTGCTGAAAAATAGTCCAATGTACAAACTGGGTACATTTCAAGATTATACTCTTGATCTTTTACAACCTACAACGTCACATGTGCCCTGATGATCATAAGGGAAACCGGTTGGCAAATAATTAAATAAGTTAACTCATGGACTGTGTTTTTTGTTATGTATATATATAGTAAAATTATGAAAACATTTAGATTAGCTTTGAATATATAACCAAATATAATTTCATTATTAATTCTAATATATTATATAAAGATTAATACACAAAGCTGAAACAATATTTATATTAACAGCTGAAAAATTTCATCTTTTTACTAAAATATTCATTCAAATTACCTCCCTTTTTAAATTTTGTTGTACACGTTTTTCACCAACGTATTTGTTAATGTCATCATCATCATCATCATTATCATCATCATCATCATCATCATCATCATCATCACCATAAACAATAAGGTACCTTTTATAGAACTATAGATACGGCATGTCAGGTTTTTGTCATATGTTCAGTTTTCACAAGACTGACATGTGGTATGTTAACCTTGAAAGTTACTTCATTTCATCATACTAGTATATTTCAGTCAACACAAGCACTTTTAACATGAGCACTTAAGACGCTAATTGTATTGTTTTTTATGTTGCCACGAGAGTGTTTTTTGTCAAAGGTCAAGTTTTATGGCAGTGAAAAATATAGTTCATTAAACACATTTAGTTCAGTATGACACGTTCTTACGTGAATTTTTAATTCCAGCAATCAAGATGCGCCTATGTGATAATGGTGATGGCTCTGTTGTGGCTAACCGAGGCGGTCCCGATCCCCGTGACAGCACTCATGCCCATATTCTTGTTCCCGTTACTGGGCGTGGTCAAGGCGTCTGTAATCAGTGGAGTATATATCAAGGTCAGTGGTTGAGTTAATAAAAATCAATCAATCAATCAATCAATCAATCAGTCGATCGATTGATCGGTCGGTCGGTCGATCAAATCGTCTGAACGTTTTAAAATATCGGAAATAAATTTTGAAAAAAGTAATGATATGTAAATCGTATTTATGAACGAAAATTGTCAGTTGGATAAACAGTCAAGTACTCGTCTAGGAATTGTTTCATGGTCAAGGCTCATGAGTTTAAGCCCAGCTGTGGTAACGGTCATGAGTCTTCATGTGTTACTTCCAGTGTCAGGAAGCAGACTCGCACGTGATTACACTCAGTTGAAAGAACTTCCAGCATAAATGAATATTGAATTCATACAGTAACGGCTATATGTAAGCCCAGCTTTTATTTATGACGTAAGGATATTTGTTGCATTCCTGGTATTTTCAGGACACAACAATGTTGTTTCTGGGCGGCTTGATTATAGCTGGAGCACTTGAAGAGAGCAGGCTACATATACGTATATCTTTATATGTCATGAAGATAGTAGGTGCCCAACCAATGTTGTAAGTAACATTATACATTAATTACAAACATATAACCAAAATAGTGTGACACATTTTTAGAAAAATAGCAATATAAAATCATGAACCATTTTCAGTGGTGCAAGCGGTTTTGAGCGAAGAAAGAAACAATGTCTGCCACTGAAAGAACATTTTTGTAAATAAAAATTAACAACATTCGTCCATCACGTTAGGTAATTTGCGTTTTCGGTAAATTGTTGATTTTTATATGGTGCGAACATTTTTAAAAGCTCATTGTGTATTAATTTAGATTTTAGCATAATATTATAGGTATAAAAATGCGATACGAGCTTGATAAAACGGTTTAACATTCGCGTAATCCCTTACCACCATCGTCCGTTTATGTCAAAACTATTTGACTATTTAATCATTTGAGAATTTTGCTCTTATTATCACAGACTATGATTTATTTCTTAAATCACAATATAAGTGTAAATAACCGTTCACGACCCAGCTTTACGCATGTTTACTTTTAGTTTGTAAATAAACATAAATACATGTAACCTTTGTTTAAAGATTAATGGGCGGTTTATTGGTGACCACGTGGTTCCTGTCAATGTGGATTAGCAACACTGCAGCGACCTCTATGATGCTTCCTATTATAGACGCTGTAATCAACAATATAGAGGAAGCCGAAGGTAAGCGTTCATGAAATAACTTCAGTTTTTTTAAACAACAACAACAACAACAACAACAACCAAAACAACTACAAACAAAAACCGAAGTCCTACTTTAAAACGATATGACACAGGCGCGACTCTCTTTTATCGTGACGTAAGTGGACAATCCCATTTGAGAAATTTTGGCATTGTAAAGGTTAAGCTAGCTGTGTAGCTCGAACGCATTAAAGAATCTGAATTGATGGGTTTGAACCCCACAGTGGTGAAAAGCGAATAGATGTCAAGTCTGCAGCACAGTCAGATGGTCCGAGGAATAAAGTCAAATGGAGTGCTGAAGATACAATGCACCGCGCTCGAATCAAAATGTAAAGTAGTTCGCAATCACATGCTACCTCTTTATTTAGATTTAAGGCAACATTTTGTCCATGTCCTTTTGCGCGGATCTCACCACGGTCCTGTATAACATGGCCTTGGGCAAACGAACACGTATAGTCTGTAATTGCCCGCGGTTCATTATTGCAGTAGCTTTTCGCAAATAGGGTACCAATTTGGAAACCCAACTGTGCAAGCGGTCTAGATGTCTATTTTTTAAGAAATTTCGTTTTTTTTCCCGAAAAACTAGATCTTAATCTATTTGAAAGAATTCATTCATGTTAATATTATTTTTAAACTGATTTAAAATTATTTTTACGAGGTATATCAATAAATCAGATCGCCAGCTGTCAATATCAATATTGTAGATCTTCACGATTTTAGTAACATGTTTATAATTCATTGTGTTTCGCAGAAGAATATGAAGATGCGGAGGCGGCAAAATGTGCAGACGACATCGATGATGCAGACGATATTACTGATGACATAGAATCAAAAGAATACAGTGACGAAAGTGATAAAATTAAAACGCTTTTAAGAGAAAAGTCTAAAACAGAGTCAGCCGGGGGTAATTCATATTTTTCATATTCGTTTCATATTATTTAAAGGGGAGTAATAAAAACGTACATAAAATATAGGAAGATAATTGAGTTACCTACCCTTAAACACAATGTATGCGTAGATCCACACTGATTATTCTCAAAATTTTGATAATTTAAAATAGATTTAAATTTATTTTTAAGTTATGTCTGCGCGTGTGTCTACATGTGTATTATGAATAAGAGGTGACGGCTTTAGGATCACGATCTTTGTATCCCGACTGCGTTATCATTGGACCTCTCTTTGAGTACAGTCGAAAAGACTTTTGTTTAACTTTACTTTTATATAGGAATATCCAGTGTAGAAGAAAAACGGCCACTACCACCAGAGCTACAGCGTCTAGCAAAAGCGTTTGCTTTAAGTGTAGCATACGGTGCTAATATAGGGGGAATAGCTACACTTACAGGTTCTCCACCAAACCTTGTCTTCAAACAACAGATTGACAAGTAAGTTACCTTGAAAAAAATGAACACCGTCAGTGTCAGTTAAAGGGTTATTCACCATAACATTGCTGAATATAATCACATCTCGATTATGCATTGCCATAATCTTAGGAAAAATCTTTCGAAAATCTCTATAAATATATTTTAACTCGCATGAATTATATACATGTAACGGTTTAGAGAACATAATTCCTTTTTCATATTGATTTGACCGGTTCATACAAGATTGTATGATTTTTATACTCTAACATTGTTTGAGTAATATATACCGGATCGGAGTCCGCTATTTCTATTTTACTTTTATGGATTATGTTCTGGTCTAAAGTCCGGCTTTTCTATCTTATATATTGTATGTATTATATGCCGATTTAAAGTCCAACATTTCTATTTTAGACGGTATGAATTTCATACCGGTTCAGACTCCGACATTTTGATTTTAAGATTCATTTGTATGAATTAATAATTATGTAACAGTTCTGAGTTCAACTTTTCTTTATTTTTTAGATTGTATGAATTTCATACCAGTTCTGAACCCGACAATTTTTAATTTAAGATGTTATTAATTAAAATCCGAGTTCTGAGTTCAACTTTTCAATTCATTTTAGATTGTATGAATTCCATACTGGTTCTGAACCCGACAAAAGTTAATTTAAGATAATTATGTACCGAGTTCTAAGTTCAACTTTTATATTTATTTTAGATTGTATGAATTCCATACTGGTTCTGAGTCGGACGTATCGTTTGCTAAATGGATGGGATTTGCGTTCCCTCTGTCCGTCATTACAGCTATCCTCGCCTGGTTATGGCTGGTTACATTGTTTTTACGATGCGGGTAAAAATCTTCATGCATAATAAGGTCATGTGCTAATGTTATATACACTTTTACGAGCACATGGTTAAGTAATGTATTGGTAAATAATGCAGTTTTTGTTTTGAAACTTTGTAATTTTCCACTTTAAAATATGAATAAAAAGATTCTTCTTAGTATGTATAAGAATGATTTTTAAAAAAAAAATCTTTCTAAGAGAAACGATTGTAACGGATAATATATGTACATGCGTATAATTTTTCACAGGTGTTGTAAAAAAATAGACCCGGGACATAAGAAGTCAATAAATGCATCCATTGCACATCATCTTAAAGAACTTGGTAAAATGACGTACGTAAGGCTTTCACTATTTTGACTATAATATATCTATATGTTATCATTTTTAAGTATAGTCTATTTCTATATGTTATTAGTACTCATGTTGACCTTGTTTGACATTTGTTTGGTATAAGGTCAATACGGTTGTCTCATTAGCATATGCCATGTCCAGCATTTCTTTATCTCGGCTTTTTATTTTGAAAGTTTAGTTAAGTTTCATGCTGTAACATTCTGGTTTAGGTGGCTATAAATAAGACATTATACATGAGATCCCAATTATTTGTTTAATGCTAATGAGGGAAGGAGTAAAATACATTGTTCTAATGCTTATGAGAGAAAGCATCTAATGTATTGTTTTAATACATATGAGGGAAGTGTAAAATGCATTGTTGAAAAAACGTCAAATGTATTGTTTTACTACTTCTGAGGAAAAACGTCAAATGCATTTGTTTAATGCTTATTAGGGATGAGTGCAATGTATTGTTCTAATTATTATGAGGGAAAGCGTCTGATCTATAGTTTTAGTGCCAATGTTGGAAAGTGTATAAAATGTATATTGTTTTAGTGCTTATGAGAGAAAACATGGTGCAGATGAGGGATTTGTCTACTTGATTGTTTAAGTTATCATGAAGGAATGCGTCAATAGCTTATGGGACACAGATTTATAATGTTAATTTTTAAAATTCACAACGGAAAATATCGGACTTTTGCTTATGAGGACAAACGTCGAATGTATTATTTTAGTGTTTATGAGGGAAAACGTTCAATGTATTATTTAAGTGTTTATGAGGGAAAACGTTCGATGTATTATTTTACTGTTTAAGAGGGAAAATGTTCAATGTATTATTTAAGTGTTTATGAGGGAAAACGTTCGATGTATTATTTTACTGTTTATAAAGGAAAACGTTCTATGTATTATTTTACTGTTTATGAGGGAAAACGTTCTATGTATAATTTTACTGTTTATGAGGGAAAACGTTCAATGTATTATTGAAGTATTTATGAGGGAAAACGTTCAATGTATTATTTAAGTGTTTATGAGGGAAAACGTTCAATGTATTATTTAAGTGTTTATGAGGGAAAATGTTCTATGTATTATTTAACTGTTTATGAGGGAAAACGTTCTATGTATTATTTTACTGTTTATGAGGGAAAACGTTCTATGGATTATTTTAGTATTTATGGGGGAAGCGGTCATCATATTTTATTACTTATAGCACAAGTAAACATATATATACTATTGTTGTTTAAGTTTATATACATTTCAGGTTTTGTGAATTACAAGTGTTAATAGTATTTGTTGTGCTGGTGGTTCTATGGCTGTTTCGGGCACCTCCGAAGATAGATGGCTGGGGATCGGCAGACTTTCTGAAAAAGGGGTATAGTATAGTTTATTCCTTTGTTAACCATCCTGAACTTTTACAAAAAAAATAGTCACACAATTAAAAAGAGTAAAATGAATTTTTGACTTTTTTTTCTTTTTTCTTGTTTGTTGCTTTTTTAATTTTTTTAGAAGTGAATAATTCTTCAAGTAGTTTTGATAACTTTTCAGTTAGTAAGGGGATAATTCTTCTTCAAATAGATTCAGTTTACATATTTTACATAATTTACATAACAAGTCGTTTTAGATTACACGAAGGTAACTACTAATGTACGTCCTTTAAGTTATTCTGAAAATTATTTTAGTTTCTCTTTAAAAAAAAGTCTTTTATTTAGTTTAAGACCCATTATGACCCAAAAATGCTTTTATTTTAATATCTTAAAACTTTTAATTGTTAGTTTAAACACTATCTTATTTATAAACATTTCATTTACATGATAATTAACAAAAAATAAATTGTACGGATTGAGTAGGAAGTTTGAAAATCTTTGTTTTATTGTTAGAGTCCTGATATGGTTTCCTTAAGAACCATCTTTAACCATCTTTTGCTGCTGTTGCTTATTAAAATTAGTACAGTTATAATGAGTTAGTATTTTGTAATGAAGTCAAAATATTACTTTGTTTACATTTTGCTACCTCTATTAAAAATAATTTTACATTCAGTATTACATTCTTTTGAAAATAAACATAAAACATGCTTTAAAATCATTATTTGAACGACACAATACTCATGTTTACCTTTTCTAAAGTAGAAAAATATTATTTATTTCTGGGACATAATATGCCTTTGAGTTAAGCGGTGATTTCCCGTACGCTAAAAAATGATCAATTTTGGAATTCCAGGTTTGTGTCTGACTCCACGCCATGTATACTGCTAAGCGTTCTTCTTTTCATATTGCCATCCGAGGTGCCAAAGGTTTTTGGTCTTGCTAAAGGAGGTAAAAACGTTATCATTATTTAAATGTGTAGGTTATGGTTAAGCGTTTGCTATGTTTAGTCTCGTCTCATATTATCTCATAGCAATTGACAGACACTTTATGAGAATTCCTTGTAAAAAATAATTCCTTGCAAGAAACTGCAAAACCTTCATCAATGGTATTTACTGGTAAATGGATTGTAAGGGAACGACCAGGCCAAATACTCCATCATAACGAGTTTTACACATACCCCGTTGTTTTGACGACACAACCAACCGTGACATGGGAGACAATCAAAAGGTAGTGACAGGTAAAAGATGATATGAACATTTTTGTTCGTTCAATTTTAAAACTACAATAAATGTTTTATTTGCAACAAAATATCAAAGACACCTGTCTAATTTGAAAAAAAGTTGATTCTTATAATATCTATTCTACATTTTAAGAAAATTGTTACATTTTTGTGTCTGCTTCAGAAAAGCCGTCATATAAACCAATTCTAGAGTGGAAGTCTGTAACAGATAGATTACCATGGGGTGTTATTGTTTTACTTGGGGGAGGCTTTGCTATAGCACAGGCTAGTGAGGTAAGCTCTTCCAAAATACTACATATAAAAGAAGTAGATGACACAAAGGCGACTTCGTGTAGTTACTTTTTGCAGAAATGGCTGTTACTGTATTTGAACGGAAATAATTATCATGTTACAAATTTAGCAATGTCAAAAGTCAGTTTTGATATCACGATAAAAGTATATCCAAGAAATCAATCGGAATACCTCGCCGATAATTCATAAGCGTACCGGACTTCTACCGCGTGGCTTCCCACAGAGGGTGTTATTTTTGTATAATGAGTAACACATTACATTGTATTGTCCGACAACCAACGGAAAGTAAAGTAATTTTCGGTTCAGTTTAATATGGAAAAAATATGACTGACAATCATATCATTTTAAGAAAGCCTATTGTCAACCAATTAAAACAAAACAATAGGTATACAGTTTGTTCTTTCGGTATCCAACAATATAATATTTAATATATTGATTATATGTTCAACTACCGATTTTTCTATTCTTAGTAAAATCGAATTGTACACGACATATTACATCTAACCATACTATATTTGTTTACATGCATAATACCGTTACGAAGGTTGGCGTAAATGGCCGAAACTTTGCGATTACACAGTAGGATAACGTATAGTTGCCTCCCCTGCATGTTTGATAAATTATATGTTTTGTTTTTCTACCCACATCAGTGCTTTAAGAAATATCGTATAACTTTACATTGGTATAAAACACAGATATGGCATATACATGTTTTATCTATACAAATCGCTAAAAATAGTTACTGCACGGCATGTTTAAATAAGATTAAGTACATTTTAGGTCGATTACATGACAGCAATCCTTTATACTTTAGACTCGTCTAGGTTTGGGGTAAACAGGACCCACTTCTGTCAGTGTATATTTGCGATAACATTTTTTTAAATACATGAGATATTAGGGATAACACTAAATTAATAGTTATTAGAGATAAAACTTTAAATATCTAAGGTAATAAAATTTTCAAACTAGCTCCTTACAAGATGATAATCTCACGCCACTCACCAGATCACCCCAGTAAAGAGAACCTCAAATAAAAATACAAACCACGGTTGCGTATGTTCGAGCCTGTGTCTGACCGGCACCAGCGCTTTTATGTGAGGATTTAACGAAAATGCATATCTGCCACTCACTTAAAATTATCCAACTTAATTTATTGATTTTACCAAAAATATAACAAAAATGAAAGGGATTAAAGGCAAAAAAACAGTTAGAGGGTCAGTATAAACAGAAACTTCAGTATAAATTGAGGAAAGAAACTTATTAAAGAATTTAAAGTTGATTGAAATTTTAGGACTCGGGTTTATCCCTCTGGGTTGGACATGAGCTGAAAGTGTTTGCCAATATGGACACGTGGGTGATGAACCTCATTATATGTTTAATCGTTGCCGGGGCAACCAACGTAACCAGTAATACAGCGAGTGCTACATTGCTCATGCCAATTCTTGCTCAACTTGTAAGTGCACACTTTCTTGTAAATTTATATTCTTTAAGTTTTGTTAACGACATTTAATAGAGTAATTGTTTGAAGTAGATGGTATTGACAGGTTGCAAAAGTTCAGGTACATTTCAATAAAACACAAAATATGTCTTACTCAAAAATTATTGTTTGAATTTTCAAAAATGCTTGTATGAAAGAAATATAACAGTTTATTGCCTTATAAGGAAAGCATTACTAAACGGTTAAACATAACATGATATTTTGTTCCGGAGTATATATTATTCTATTTACGTATAATATTCATTTGCGTTAAATAACTTAGACATTCTATGTTTAAAACCTTTTCGGGAATTGATAACAGAAACAATAAGATTTTACTGCTGTTAAATTGTATAAATCTATTTAATTAGATATAGCTTTATGCATTTTATATACATGTATACGCTTCGTTACAAAATTGTGCATGTTAACCTTTCAATTGATCAATGTGGTTACGCCACTGAAAGCAGGACTGGGTTGCTAAGGAATTTGAGGTTCATGAATTAAATAGTTTGATTTTATAGCTAAATGGACAAACCATAGCTCAGAAAACAGCTACATGATAGAGACTGTCATATTAATCAATGATACATATGCTTGATAAGATCACGTGTCAATTTTAAACTAAAATATTAATTCGATTATTCATGCATCTAGTTATTAATTTATTATAATTTCTCTTCTGCTTCAACAGGCCCTACAGACTCAAATAAATCCAATGTATTTGATGATATCAGTGGCCGTCTGTTGTTCATTCGCGTTCATGCTGCCAGTAGCCACGCCCCCAAACGCCATCGTATTCTCATCGGGATATCTTACTATTCCAGACATGGTAAGTGTGCTCTGACTGCTCTCGTATGCATATGGTGGCTGATTTGTTACACTTTTGCACGTTTTCGCTTGGCTTATATCGAAGGGCTGGCTTCTTATGGCAGAGTCGCATGGCTCGTCAAAGCGCCAATAAAGCAATTCTTCAAGATAATGTGTCATCGCGACAGCACGCCGCGAAACAATGCTAGTTTGGTGCGATTCGCTAGCGACAAGACGACCATGCGATAACGCGCCGTTTGGTTTTTGTCATGTAGTCGCTAGCGGCAACGCCACGAGCAGAAGTGTAAACAATCAGCCACCATACTCTCTCGTTATTCTATCTATCCATCAGTCATAGTTCCTTATGTGGAAATCTAGGAATCAGAACTGAAAGGCATCCAATGTATAGACTTGTTTCATAATGAAGCATAAAATATCTAAATAATTAAAATAATGTTAATGTTTAGTATTTAATGATGCTGACACCTACAGAGTTCAGGTAAAATTCATCTTAACATTTTATTATTTGTAAGAAGATAAACATATTAAAGACGTCATGTATAACATCATGTTTGTTATGGTATATGCTCTATATCTTTTGAAATCTCAGTTCATACAATTTATATTATTTGTCTTATTGTCGTCCCACGTACTACTTGTAGGCCCCCAGTATATTGAAGCATAATACCACGACACTCATGAAAACTGCTTTATTGTACCCGGAAATACAAAAAATTCCACTGGATTCTTCCCCGCTTTTTATTGTATCAAATAATTATGCATAGCAGTATATTTTTCAACAAATATAAACAATTTCTTCAGACATTCTATCTATAATCAACTATTTGAGCATCGGACCTATGTTTATGATGTCGTGAAACCGGAAGAAGATAAACCAGGCGTGTTGAAACAACAACAACAACAACATCAAAATTATGTCTTAATTCTCGCAGACTAACTTGTATTATTTTTGTATGACCTTTACGCGTACGCCTAAGCAACAATGATTAGAAAGTCAAGAAGTGAAAAAGAATATAGTCTTAAAAGGAAAAGCCGGTCATTTTTTTAAAAATACGTGAAGTGTTGTGCGACGTCGATTTTGGCGCGGAATCGCTCAGTAATGCCGGGTAACAATAAGCACTTTTTACATGGACGGGTACTGTTTCGTATCCGCGGGGGTCAACAAGTAGTACCATTGACGACAAAAGCAATATTCCCAACAACCTTACTAGTGGTCTGACTGAAATGCAATACCTGCCTGACTGAGACACATAAATCACCAGAACTACCTCAATATCATCATATAATTAAACAATATTTTCAGATCACCTTACTGTAAACTGAACAGGTACATTTTGTTCACTTTATGGTCTAGTAACTATTTGAATGCTTTAATGCAAATATAATAGTTGACATGAAGCATAAAACTTTACAAAACACAATAGATAATGGTCAAAGGGTGACTGGGTATATAATTTAGTTTCATTTTGTATTGCAGGTTTTAGCTGGACTCCCAATTAACATCATTTCTGTATTTTGTCTCACACTTGCCATCAACACGTGGGGAATATCAATGTTTGATTTAAACGTATTTCCGGAGATGTTCCAGACTACAAAGTCTAATGTTACATTATAAACACATGTTTTTTTCGTCTTACTTACAGTATTAACATTCATTATTAAATGGATAATATTATCATAGATAAAAATAGAATGATGTCATATCAAATTTACGATATTATGCCAGTATAGCAGCGATTGACAAGCTTCTTAAAGAATCTTATACCATGACTGTATAGCGTCCTTTCGACAGACATATTCACTGTTGAAAAAAGGCTGTTTATGCATATAAGGGGAGATTTTAGCTTAATCTAGCACTTTTGGTTGAAGAATGCTCATAAGTTAATCAAACATTCTCTCTGTTGACGAACTTGACAATTTCTGTTCTCTTATTGACAGTATGACCGGGACTCCAGCTCTACCAACTGAGCTATGCAACCACTTAGTGACAGCTCTTGACCTTAATTTGAAGCATTCGATCATTCATCAGACAAAAACATGAAATCTCAGATCCGATTCACGAGGTTACCAGTTTTATTTGCACGACAGAGATTCTTTTCCATGACAACTTAAAGTAATTACTGGCACGATTATAATGACCTTTTACTGCTACAAGCAGGTTAGAAGTCATATAATGATAAAATAAATTCCATAGGTAAAAAAAATCCAAATTGGAAAATAGTTCTACGAGTGAGTGATCACACATAAAATTCATCTAAATTTGTCCGCAAATAGAACTATCTCTGAACTTTTCCCAAAAAAGTAGGAAATTCCATCTAAGGAAAAAGACAATTCATATTTACATCGGGCAATAATAATGCTGATGTTGTAAAAAATTTATTGCGTCTTTATATCAATAAAAATATTACTTAGTTCTACAAAAATTGATTAATGTTTATGTTTGCCCTTGATGGTCAACGACAATTCAAGGTCAATATCATTCTTCAGCAACTTAACGTGAATATTTTGTCCAAATATGAATCAAATCAATTCATTCATAAGTCAATATTTGGGATCATGGTCATTTTAGGTCAAAGGTAAACATGTACATGGATTGCTCAACATATTTTTAATGTGAAGTGTTGGTTTGTTCTTGTATGGTAAAGTCGGTCCATAGACAACATAAGAATTGCAATTTTAGAAAAAAATCAATATTTACAATTTAGGGCAAGAACATACCAAGGTCAAGGTAAAGTTTAGGATGACACACTTAAAAGGTTGTTATACCCGAGAGTAAATGAAATACATGGCGAATATTTAGCAAAATTCAATAATTTGACCTTGAAGGTCGAGACACATAAACGGTCAAGGTCAAACATAAGTTATTTAACATGACAGTTGTATGCTTAGTGTTATTTTGAATTAGGTATTAATCAAAATCCATTAATGACAAATTGTAAAAAAATTCAATAATTTTATCATAAAGGTCAAGTTCATGTAACAGTCGAGGTTGAGTTGTGCTTGGCCTACTTTAAGGTACCGAAAGGATTGTCGAGTATGAATACAAAATACAAAAGATCTATTAATAACACAGATGTAGCCAATTATAGCCCACTTTAACAAAATTCAATGAATTAACCTTGAATGCCAAGGTTATTCTTTTTTATTCAAGGTCAATTATTTAGATAGAGACCATGACATTTATTCCTGACAGATTTTGTATGAGAAGAAGCACACAGAGACAGCCATACACCAAGACAGACAGACAGTCTGAAACTAGTATGCCCCCTTACAACTTTCGTGGGAGACAGGTTTTTTGTATGTTGGGGTAGCCTGGGATTCAGGCGTTGATATTTTTTGCTTATTTATGACATACGCACTATTTCATACTCAATCGTCATAGATAACACAACATCTGTGGTTTTGATAGTATCAATCTGTCGATTTGCCGAACAGAAGCACATCAAAAATCGACAGACTGGAACCCAGGCTAGGGTAGAGGTAATTATTTGCGAAATGGCAAATTGCGTCCAGACAAATGGACAATTAAACTTCGTTAATTGAAATACTCCTGCTTAACCCGGAACAACAAACTACCATATAACGTTGTATAGCTTCATAACTAATGACCAAACAATTTTGAATTTTAAAATTGCAATGGTTCTATTGTAACAATTATACATGTATCTGTATGTTATGATGATGGGTGTTGAGCCCAAGTCAGAAATAAAGTATACGTTCTGTTCTATAGATAACTACAATCATGTTAATATGTGTATATGTATATCAGGTACAATTTTACAATAAACTATTTTAAACTCCAGACGAAATAGGGTTGGAATATGGTAGCCACGTAGGGCAAGACGATTCTAGTTTTAGCTTAACAATTTTTATTTCAATACCATTGTAATCAGAATCACAATACTATTATTATTTTTTTCTTTGCTTTATATTAGAATTATTCGAATTTTGAACATGTGATATAGTCATTAAATTGCGTTACAAAATTTACGCTATCTGTGATATTAGTATATTACCACGAGTAAGCTTTATCTATATGCTATCTCGTCTTCACTGCTCAGTTACAATCAGATTAGTAACTAACGTAATCAAAGCACAGAAGGCGCTGAATTTGTTTGGGTCTCAGAATGTCAGAAAGGTGAAGGTTGTGAGATTATAAACCAATTTGTTTTTGTATAGTGCCATCAATGCTATCCAGCGTTTGAATTGTAGTAAATTGGCTATAAGACTAATTGCAACACTGATATTCAATCCAATGTTTATTTGACTTAAACAATTTGAAAAAAAAATGAGTTGCCTTAACTGGGATTCGAACTCTAGACCTCTCGCTTCCACGGTGAATTTATGTCTTAACTGCCTGAAGAAAACCATATTATTCTAAATTAGGGTTTGTAACGACGCTAACTGTTGTATAACACTTGTGTAAATAATCATGGCGCTTACTACAAGCATGTATATCTATAAAGAATAAAACAATATTAGAAATCTTCGACCATTAGGGAATTATTTTGCTTGAAAATTAATGCGCCTGTCATTTGATCATCTTTACGCAGTGATCTCCCCTGAGTTTTTCGCCGTTAGTTTTACATATAAAGGGAAGTAACCGCTTCAAAAAAGCGAACTACTTTCGGCATTTGCAATTAACAGCATTAGAGTCTGAAATTTCGCTACCATTATTTGTTTGGTCTGACGACTTAAACAAATAAAAATTATTATCTGTGCAGAAAAAATAATTTCCTTTTCTATATATAAAAGGCCTTATCTAGCCATCCCCCACAATATGACCAGTTTATAATATATGTTATAAAATGTTAAATTATTATTATTAAATAAATGTTTGGGAATTTTCATGTCATTACGATTATAATACAAGTGGAGAGTAAAGAAATAATAATGCGTTTTGATTGGTCAGAAAACCGTTTGAAATTAAAATAAATGTTTGTTTGTTGTGTATATCTAAACAGAGTCCATATTCAAGTCTATATGCCCCCAAGAGTTTTACATTCTCTGTGCAGTTGTCTTAGTAAAGTTTGAGACCAAAACTGTTCATAGGTTGTAAATTTCACAAAATAAATAAATAAGATTTTGGTGTCTAATGCTAAATTAAAAAACATGATTTTTGATCTTCTCAAATATTGCATAATGTAACCCATCCCCTAATATTTTCAAATGTAATGTTACAGTACTTTTCAAATAAAGTTTGGACATTACATTATCGATTTACAAAGCTATAAATAATCTCCGGACGTACCCTCGGGAATACATGAACTTTATCATAATTTGAGTGATATTCGTAGACGGTCAGTAACAAAAACTAATACGATATATGCAGAAATCAACAACAAAATACGAATATTTAGATTATATCAGGCACGATCGAACACAAGAGTGAACCAATGACGCTCCGTAAGCCATCTAGCTAGCTTTCACACATGAAATACTTCGAAGTTCGGATAGGATTCTGCAACCATTTCAAGGCTGCAATGTTGATCCTTCTCTCTAAACCTAATTTTTCTAACAGGTGCACGATAAAAACCATTTTTACGTTGTTTTCTTATTGTTTTTTACGTGGCTGAAGCATGAAGCAAATTATTATAACGTGACGGGAGCATGAAACATACAATTGTTACGTAACGGTAGCATGAAACGTTCCATTTATTAAAACAAAAGTAACAGCATTAACCATGATCGAAAATGCGTTTTTTCCATCGGTGATTGTATAATATTTAAATACTAATTCTGAAATTCAAAATGACCGATTGGGCCGGGGGGGGGGGGGTGAGGGGTAATCCGGTGGTGGACGGGGGAGGGGTGAAATGGGCCGATGGTGGGCGGGGAGGGGCGTAATGAGTCGGTGGTGGGCGGCGGAGGGGTGTATTGAGCCGGTGGTGGGCGGGGGAGGGGTGTTTTGAGCTTTCACATGCACATATATGTTTAAGACAAATATTATTATCACCCGTCAAGATTATATCAGATTTTGTCTAATTCTATAACAAGAAGATATGTATAAGTCTGTAAATAAAAATCTTTTCTGTTCAGTTCTGTTTTAATTCTTATTATCAGATTAGTGGATACAATAAGATTTATCACAACATTTTGTTAACAAAAGAGCACATGTCAATATTGGTGATTAACTCTATTGTTCCTTAAAGAAAAGGTCAAAGAAGGGATCTATCAATTGCCTTACTACATTATTTAAAAGCGTTAAAATTGCTTTGTATTAAGGGACGTGCTCATACTTGCGCCTTTCATGTATACCTTATTTTGACTGGACATTCGCAACGTAAACCAAGTGTCGCTTATCTACCAAACAAACAGTTAATATACAGTAACTGTGCTACAAATTCACAGGCCTTAAAATTAATTACATAATTTTGAAATGTTTTAAAGTTTTGTTTAGAAGTAACAGAACAGAACAGAACAGTAAAGGTATCTTGAATATTGGTTTCTTTTATTAAAAATCAAAAACAAAACATTACCATTGCTTAAAGATAATATTATGCCCATCGTTGCGTAAGATATTTTCATCACAGAAATTTATTGAAATCTACGTATTTTTAACAGAACATGTCCAATTAATACATTATCTATTGGAAGCTGTCTGCCCTAACACCTATAGTTCGCCGATTAAGGAACCTAAATATTATGACAGACATGCACTTACTTTAGAAATTCACAGGGGAAAATGTACTGAATATGAAGAGAATTAAGTAATTTGTAAAACTTTTAAATGAAATGACAACTGCATGAAAGCTAGAGGTATATGGATTTTCATTATAGACAAAATATTGTTAATTTTAAAAATACTGATATGTGAAATCAGCAAAAGGTTGAAAAAGGGTGTTACCAACATTTTATTTTTACAAAATACTAAAATGAATTATTTTTGTTATATATATATGTCGTGTTTGATAGATATTTGTCATGTATAATGTTATATATTACATGTTCATTGCTCACTTTATATATGCGATGCATTTCAATTTACATTTTTGAATAGTATTAAACAAACTTAAAAGTAAACTGGTCTACAATAAAATAATTTATATGTTGACAGTTTTCTGCATCATACGTGAAAATCAGCCCTTCTGGATCTGCTCGTGGTTCAGTACATTGAGCGAACTATACATGTATATACTGTTTATTATGGCGACAAGGTGATTTACAAATCGATTAAATTACACCAGAGTTTAACATAAAGGAAGACTATATCGCCTAGATTAAATTGCTGAATCATAGAAAATGCAGTAAGATACATAAGATAACAATTTAATATATTTGAGAGAAAAAAATAAAGCAACAAAACATTCCATTACTCGAGCCATGAATTGAATTTGTAGAAATAAATTCGTGGTTTGACAGGTTAAACAGTACTGTATATCATACAAAGTAAAATAGGCCTCACGCAAACAGTTCAACGTTGTTACATGTTTAAATTGAAAAATGTGGGCAATGTCCTGGATTAGACATCCACATGTATATTTCGAAAAAAAACAACCAAAAAACAACAACAACAACATCAACAACAATAAAAACAGTCACTTTAAATATGTTTAGTATAAGTAAACGTATTATTGTACTGTATATGTAATATTTAGTGATTACTAATAGGGTTATCTTTCAAAACAAAGTCCATACCTCTTTCTCGATAAACATCTATATCCAGCAGATCCAGTTTCTATTTCCATTGTAGATATGTTACCCCCAGGGGACTCCACAATCATGGCCTGCGAACAAATTACCAAAGACATGAAAGTGTTCCTCTGGGGGGCCAGCCGAAACTCTCTACCGCTCCCCTGCTTCGCTTTCTCCACCGAGAAAGATGGCGCGACCGCTATGGGAGACATGTATAGAGTCCAGCCAGCCCGGATTCGAACTCAGACATTCAAATCCAAATAAACGTAAAAGGTGGGCGTAACTCACTGCCCGAGTGCAAGAAGAGTCCGCAAACTCTTAGGGTCTGATCCAAAGAAAAGAACCAGACCCCATCTTCGTTATTTCACATCTTCATTCATGCGGAGAGTTGAACGAAGTAAGCGGTTAACATGGAAACACCCTGACGTAAAACACCGTCCTGTACGATGTCTTACCTTAATGAAATGCTCCCTGACAATGTTTTATGTTGCACATATGTTCTATATTTATATTACGAATTACACACACTGGTTCCCGGTCATGCTTCACGATACTAAGTCTTTATCAAAGTCAAACAAGGATACAGTAAAGCCGATACTACACGTAATTTCTATATTTAGAATATCGAGTCAGCAAATTATTGCAAGTCGATTATGCAATAGTTTTACACGGATTTGTTTTAAATATATTTATTAAAATCACAATTTTGATCTATACATTCTTTATTATATTAATATACATGTATTTATGTGCTTTGTACTGCAGCATAATTGCAACAAATTCTAATCGTTTTTTTTAAAGCTCATACCACACGATACAGTCTTTAGTAATAGAAAGAGCACCGAAACACGAGGCTATCTGATTTGTACGAGGGGGCGTAGCCCCTGAGTATAAATCAGATTGCCGAGTGTTTTGGTGTTCTTTCTCTTTTGTATCATAGTCAAGAAAATAAAAACACGTTCCCTTTTGTCACAATATGAAACCCCAGAAAAAAGTTACCAATGAACGAGCATTTGAATATGACATTTCTGTCGCTTTCCCTTTCTCTGCCGTCACAAAAAGTAAACCCCAGCAAAAATGAACCAATCAACGGGCATAATCTGGACTATGATACAAAAGAGAAAGAACACCAAAACACTCGGCAATCTGATTTATACTCGGGGGCTACGCCCCCTCGTACAAATCAGATAGCCTCGTGTTTCGGTGCTCTTTCTATTACTTATATTGGATGTCTTTTGTATATTGTTTTTGCGGCAGCGAAAACAATTGAAAAACTGCCTTATGATAAATAACTGTAATGTAGCTAACGTTTTATTTATTTATTTGTTTCTAGCTCT